TGTATAGGGTTTAGTAAATAGAGTATAGGGTTTAGGGTATAGGGTTTGGTGTGTATAGGGTTTGGGGTATAGGGTTTAGGAGTTTAGGGTTGAGGGTTTAGGGTTTAGGCTCTGGGGTATAGGGTTTGGAAGTTAGGGTATAGGGTTTGGGGTATAAGGTTTAGGAGTTTAGGGTTGAGGGTTCAGGGTTTAGGCTCTGGGGTATAGGGTTTTGGAGTTTAGGGTTTAGGGTTTGGGGATGTATAGGGTAAACTAAGGGGTCCTTTAAGGGGATCTATAGGGTTCCAAGGGCTCTAAAGGGATCCTGTAAGGAAGGGCTCCTTTAAGGGCCCCCATTAAGGGATCTATACAGTTTATGCGCTCCTTTGAAGGATCCTTTAAGGGATCCTTTAAGGGTGAATGTAAGGGCTCTATGAAGCTACTATAGAGCCGCACCTGCTACGAGGAGGAGTCCGTGAAGGACGCCTTTAAGGGACCTTACAGGTCCCCCTAAGGGGTCCTTTGAGGGTGTTTTGAAAGGATCTACAAGCCCACGGCTTTAGGGATTTTAGGGCTTGGGTATAGGGCTTAAGGTGCAGATACGGGCCACTACAAGCCGACTATGGAGCTGCTAATGAGGGATCCGTCAGGGGGTTCCTTTCAGGGCTCCTTCAAAACCTCATGTTTGGCTTGTTGGGCTTTTGGGTTTAGGCTCGTTGGGGTTTTGGAGCTTAGGCGAGGGTTGCTAGAAAAGTTAATTCCAGGGTTAAGACAAGGGCGACTGTAAGAGTTCGGTTCTTAGGGGTTTAGGCTTTAGGTTTGTAGGGCTCTATGGCTGGAGGGTTAGGTTTTGGGATTTCGGCTGTTTGATTTGAGGTTTCAGGCTGTAGGATTTAGGGCTGGGGCAGAAGGATGGGGTGTAGGTAGGGTTTTCGGGCCTGGGGTGGTAAGGTTTAAGGCTTGGGGTTTAGGCTTGTGAGGGTGTATGTTTCTCCAGGGTAACAACAGCTGGGTTTTGAAAGGCTTGCTATGTAAATATCTGTGTTTCTCTTCTAGGATTAAAGGATCCATTAGTTGCGTAGAATAGAACTCATATACCGTCTCTAGGAGAACATGGAAGGGGTCCTGGAGGTCTCGCCAAAAACTCCCTAAACCCTAAACCCCTTAACCCTTAAACACCTAAACCCCTAAACCCCCCAAACCCCCTAAACCCTAAACCCTAAACCCTAAACCCCTAAACCCCTAAACCCCTAAACCCCCAAATCCCCTAAGCCCCTAAACCCCTAAACCCCTAAACCCTAAACCCCTCAATGCTCCGACCCTGACACTGAACCCCTGAGCCCCAAAGCCCCGAAACCGATGTAGATCCCAAAGCTGCAAGCCCCAAACTAATTAAGGAGCCTAAATAATTACCTACACTGTTTTGGAGGTTCCTTATTAAAAATATAGTACAATATACTCCAAAACCCTATTCTAATTATTAATTAAGCCCTATATTATGAACTTTGACGGAGCTTTAAGGAGGGAGTGCACCAACTGAAGCGGCAACACCCGTCTTGTCCTGTCGCACATCATCTGATGGCTCAAAGCAACTGTAAGAAGAACAGCCATGCACGACGAAAGCTGTGTACGTGTCCACGTCATGCCGTCTGTTCTCAGAGACGGATAAATCATCACCTTCCGTGCAGTGCTGCCAAGGCGCTCGGCTGGGGACACATGTAATGGACAGCTTGCCCCAATACGCAAAGCACATGTGCTGCAACATGCTCGTGTCCAAGGAGTCCAACATGAACCGATTAGCATAGTCCCCACCAGAAACCTTCAGCATGTCTTTCATGATGTTGTAGTCCTGACTGATGACATAAGACAACCCGAAACTATACGGCACATTGGCATAGTTGCATAGGAGGGGAAAGCATTCACGCGACTTGAGGTGCCAGCGACAACTTGAGACCACAGGCACGCGTAGATGGTGTGGGCCGCTCCCTTCTTGTCGGGCTCGCCTCCCGCCTTGGCCTTGCGGCCGCGCTTTTTGCCACCACCATCAGTTGATGTCTGCGCCGCCGGTGCGCCTGTTGGTGTCGGCACACCCGAGCCAGGAAGCCCGGGCAGAAAACTCCCGGGCACTGCAGCCATTGAAGGTGTCCTGCTCCGTCCCTCGGCAGCCCTGGATACATGGCCAAGGAAATACCTTAGCTAGGACGATATGCAATTGCAGGCGTAGCTACCCTAATTATCACCCTACTGACTCGGCTCCCCTAAATCCTTTCAGTCATTGTGCGGCTCCGTCGAAAGGAGCTGGGCTTCAGATAGCCTAAGGAACTACTGGTCGAGCATTCAAGGGGCTGGTCCGACGGTCCAAAGCACCCCCAAAGTTCATACACGCCCCAAGTACTAGATTTCTATGTAGCCTACAGTACTACTTACTACTTCCCTGACCCAGTTTGCCTATCATTGGTTCTCTCAGGTAAATCTAGATAATTGGCCTGTAGTGTTGCTTCCCTATCCAGTTGTCCTGGACATTGATTGAGGTTTCCGGTTTAGAAAGTTTCGGTGCGTCTTAGGGTTCCTTTTCGAAACAGGGTTTAGGGCTTAGGACTCGGGGTTTACGGTTTAGGGCTTTTATGGTCAGGGATAGAGACGCCTTCTTGCCGCTGCCACCCAGCACAAAGTAGTCGCCACCTAGTGCTTCGAGAGAGCTAGCAGCTGGGGGATTACTCATTCTAAACCCTAAAACCCCCACCTCCACCCCAACTCCAATAAAACTAATCAGACACACAACACTCCAGACCTAACCTTAAAACCCTAAACCCGGAGGCAACACAACCCCAAAACCCCAAACCACCATCGCCGAAATCGTTGCTTGGAAGAGGGTAACCCTAAACCCTAAATTGGTTCGATCTCAGCTTCACCCCCAAACCCTGAAGGTTCTCCAGGCGACTCAAACAAAAACCTGATCAACAAATTCACATCAAACTCAAACTACACAGGGGGGACCTTCGGCCCCTACTCTAATTTACCTAGGCTGTGGTTCTTAGATGTCTTCATTTGGGCTTACAGTTACAGATGTTTAGAGTCTCTGGGCACCTCTCCTAATACAATCGCCTCCATAGATCGAACAGTTAAGGTATTCTAGAAGACAACTGTACAAGGGCTATAGGGGGATATGAGATGATTCCGAACCAGTCGAACCCTATATTCAGGATGAGGACTCGGGCTTTGGGGCTTGAGGGAGGGATTCGATTCGGGATTTAGTTTGAGTTGGATTTCGGGTTAGGGTACGGGGGTTTAGCCCTAAACCCTAAACCCTAAACCCTACACCCTAAACGGTTAAGGGGTTTCTTTAGGGTTTAGGATCGGTCTAAAGCCACTTCAAGCCTCTCAGAGAATCGCTTGGAGCTGACCCGGGGCGTTAAAGTGGGCCGCTAGAGCTTTTGGTGGGCAAGCCAGGAACCCAGAGACTCCAATATCCCTGCCTTAATTAAGGAATATACCTTAAATTATAATAGGATCCCTAATATGGTTTAAAGTATATTCCTTAATTGAGGGATATTGGAGTCTCTGGGAACACTTGGGTTGTTTTTAAATCTCTGAAAGGGTCGCAAAAACGGCGGAGGCTTCCTTGCTGAGTCAGCAAATTTGGGCTTAGGGGTTTAGGGTGTAGGGTTTGGGGTTCAGAGGTTTAGGGTTTAGGGATGAGGGGTTTAGGGTTTGGGGTTTAGAGGTTTAGGGTTTAGGGTTTAGGGGTTAGGGGTTCAGGGTTTAGGGGTTCAGGGTTTAGGGGTTTGGGTTTAGGGTTCTACTTTCACTGCGGCCCAGGCTGGAGAAGAAGTCGATGCTGCAAGGGTCGAATTCCAAGCGGTGCCTCATTGAAGCTGGATTCAGGGTTTAGGATTTGGGGTTTAGGATTCCACTCTCATGCGGTTGTGAAGTAAACCAACAGTCTGCACAACTCCACGAAAATCTAACATCGAAACCCTCTCTTCACAGAGGCAGACCAACAGGCAGATGGACAACCGGCCGGGCATGAAACTGCAGTGGGGAAGGAGTGCATTGCAGTGCTCGAATCCCACAGGAAATTTAGCATATACTCTCCTAGAGTTTTGTGAATTCAATGGACGCTTGGATGCTTTGGCAACGTCCCTAACAAACAAAACTCCACCCCGAACCTTAGGAATATGGGTGGTTTTCCAATCTGATTTCCCATTTTAGGTCCCCCAAAATAGTACGGCACAGTAATGTAGAGAGCTACCCATCTTGCACCCTTGTAGCACCCTTCTTGAAACCCTATAGAAAAGCTTGTGGATCCTTTTGTAACCCTAAACCCTAAACCCTAAACCCCGAACCCTAAACCCTAAAGGAACCGTACAGAAACCCTTATATGGATCCCTTTAAAGGAACCCTCAAAAGCCTTTCTTCTACGCAGTTCGGGCTTTCTATACCCCAGGAGACTTTCGGCCCGGCTGGGCGCCGGGCTCGCGGCCGTACTCCTGGCCGGAGACCTGGCCAGGCAGCTTGGTTTAGGGTTTAGGGTTCCTTGCTTATTTTGGAGAGGGTGAGGTTAGGGTTTAGGGTTCTTTTTTTTGGAAGGGGGGTGGTGTTAGGGTTTAGGGTTTAGGGTTCCTTTTTTTTTGGAATTGGGCGGTCAGGGTTTAGGGTTCTTTTGTTTTTGGAAAGGGAAGGTTAGGGTTTAGAGTTCCTTTTGTTTGGAAGGGGGCGGTTAGGGTTTAGGGTTTAGGGTTTCTGTTTATTTTGGAAGGGGGGCGGTTAGGGTTTAGGGTTTAGGGTTCCTTCTTATTTCTGAAGGGAGCGGTGAGGGTTTAGGGTTTAGGGTTCTTTTGTTTTTGGAAGGGTGCAGTGAGGGTTTAGGGTTTAGGGTTCCTTTTTATTTTGGAAGGGGGCGGTTAGGGTTTAGGCTTCTTTTTTTTGGAAGGGGGCGGTTAGGGTTTAGGGCTTCTTTTTATTTTGGAATGGGGCAGTCAGGGTTTAGGGTTTAGGGTTCTTCTTTTTGTGGAAGGGGGAGGTTGGGGTTTAGGGTTTAGGGTTCCTTCTTATTTTGGAAGGGGGCGGAGTAGGGTTTAGGCTTCTTTTTTTTGGAAGGGGGCGGTTAGGGTTTAGGGTTTCTTTTTATTTTGGAATGGGGCAGT